CGCTTCCAGGAGAACACGGACCTGGGCTTGGACTACTACAGCGGGGACAGCAGCATGTCCCCCCTGCCCTCCCAGTCCCGGAGCTTTGGGGTCGGTGAGCGGGACCCCTGCGACTATGCAGGCCCCTACTCCATGAACCCCTCCACCCCCTCGGACGGGACCTTCGTCCAGGGTTTTCAGAGCGACTCCCCCGGTTTGGGGCAGCCGGATTTGGAGAGCAAGCACTTCCCTGCCCTCCCGCACCAGCTGGCAGCCCCCGGCCAGCAGACTGTCTTCGATGCTGGCTTGCAGAAAGCCTTCTCACCCAACTGCTCCCCGACCTTGGCCTTCAAGGAGGACCTACGGGCGGGCGACATCCGCAAGCTGCCTGCCTGTGACTCGCTCAAACACAGCATGCAGGGAGGGGCCCTGCCGCACGCTCCCCACCTGGCTTGCCGCGATCTCCCCATGCCTCAACCGCACTACGACTCCCCCAGTTGTAAAAACCCCCCATACTGGTATTCCCCCAATGCCAGCACCCGTAGCCCCTCGTACGATGGCAAAGCAGGGGCCGGTATGCTGGTAGACTTCATGGGCAGGACGGACCCCCCGTGTCTCAACCCCCACTTGAGCAGCCCGAGCGGCACCCACCCCTCCAAGGGCGAGAAGGAGCCCTTGGAGATGTCCCGGGCTCACCACCGAGGACCCTACGCTTGTCCCTTGATCAATGACTTGAACATCTCCCCCGTACCGAGAGACTCAATGCTGCAGCTGCAGGACAACTACAGGTACCCCAGTTTTGCACCCCAAGGGCACCCCGTCATGGCCCCCACCCAGAAGAGTGGGTTTTTGGGACCCATGGTAGAGCAACAACACCCCGAGGACACTTTTACAGTCACCTCATTGTAGTGTCTGCTGACGTGCCAACCGGACAACGAGGTTTTGTTACAGGGTAGGTGGGGGAGCCCCTCGGGGGGAGGGTGGCGGGGGGAGACGGGGCCCCCCCGGGCCCTTCTCATCATGTCCCCCCCCTCCG